AAAAAAAAAAAAAAAAGGGAGCCGGAGTGCCGTGCCGCCCTTTAGAAAGTGCCGCCCCAAGCACATGCTTGGAGCGCTGGTGCCTAGAGCCGGCCCTGGGGAGGGGGTGAGGGCTCAAGCTGGGGGTGCGGGCTCTCGGGTGGGGCCAGAAACGAGGAGTTCAGGGTGTGGGAGGGGGCTCTGGGCTGAGGCAGGGGGTGCAGGCTCCGGCTGGGGGTGTAGGCTCTGGGGTGGGGCTGGGGATGAGGAGTTTGGGGTGTAGGAGGGTGCTCTGGGCTGGGACTGAGGTTCAGAGAACAGGAGGGGGATCAGGGCTGGGATTGGGGCGTGGGGAGAGGTTCAAGGGTGCAGGCTCTGGACGGCGCTTACCTCAAATGGCTCCCGGAAGCAGCGCCATGTCCCTTCTCCGACTCCTAAGTGGCGGCGCAGCCAGGTGGCTCTGTGCGCTGCCCTGTCCGCAGGCACTGCCAATGCAGCTCCCATTGGAGCACCAGAGGAGGCCATTGGAGCGCGTAGGAGCTAGTGTGGAGTGGCCCCCCGACCCTGCTCCCCGGCTGGAGTCACTTGGAGCGGCCCCCTACCCTGCTCCCCAGCTGGAGCACTGGAGTGGGGAAAGTCCCAGACCCTGTTCCCCAGCGGGAGCTCGAGGGCCGGCTTAAAACGGCTGGTGGGCTGGATCCAACCTGCGGGCCGTAGTTTGCCCACCCCTGGTCTAGAGCCCCCGCCCCCCTGCTGGGACCACCCCAGCTATAGTTATTGTGTGGGAAGCCTACACAAAGGGGGTGTCCAAAGGTAGGGGGATGTTAACGGGCCCCTTAGAATATGTGCTAACTGTTTAGCATAAGTAATCTGTTTGATCTGTGAGCTGTGACACAGTACCTCCCCCGCCCCCTGAGGAAGAGTTCTGTGTAGAATCATAGAATATCAGGGTTGGAAGGGACCTCAGGAGGTCATCTAGTCCAACCCCCCACTCAAAGCAGGACCAATTCCCAACTAAATCATCCCAGCCAGGGCTTTGTCAAGCTGGGCCTTAAAAACCTCCAAGGAAGGAGATTCCACCACCTCCCTAGGTAACGCATTCCAGTGCTTCATCACCCTCCTAATGAAATAGTGTTTCCTAATATCCAACCTAGACCTCCCCCACTGCAACTTGAGACCATTGCTCCTTGTTATGTCATCTGCCACCACTGAGAACAGCCGAGCTCCATCCTCTTTGGAACCCCCCTTCAGGTAGTTGAAAGCAGCTATCAAATCCCCCCTCATTCTTCTCTTCTGGAGACTAAACAATCCCAGTTCCCTCAGCCTCTCCTCATAAGTCATGTGCTCCAGGCCCCTAATCATTTTTGTTGCCCTCCGCTGGACTCTTTCCAATATTTTCACATCCTTCTTGTAGTGTGGGGCCCAAAACTGGACACAGTACTCCAGATGAGGCCTCACCAATCTCGAATAAAGAGGAATGATCACGTTCCTCGATCTGCTGGCAATGCCCCTACTTATACAGCCCCAAATGCTGTTAGCCTTCTTGGCAACAAGAGCACACTGTTGACTCATATCCAGCTTCTCGTCCACTGTGACCCCTAGGTCCTTTTCTGCAGAACTGCTACCTAGCCATTCGGTCCCTAGTCTGTAGCAGTGCATAGGATTCTTCCGTCCTAAGTGCAGGACTCTGCACTTGTCCTTGTTGAACCTCATCAGGTTTTTTTTGGCCCAATCCTCTAATTTGTCTAGGTCCCTCTGTATCTGATCCCTACCCTCCAGCGTATATACCACTCCTCCCAGTTTAGTGTCATCTGCAAACTTGCTGAGAGTGCAGTCCACACCATCCTCCAGATCATTAATAAAGATATTAAACAAAACTGGCCCCAGGACCGATCCTTGGGGCACTCCGCTAGAAACTGGCTGCCAACTAGACATGGAGCCATTGATCACTACCCGTTGAGCCCGACGATCTAGCCAGCTTTCTATCCACCTTACAGTCCATTCTTCCAGCCCATACTTCTTTAATTTGGCGGCAAGAATACTGTGGGAGACCGTGTCAAAAGCTTTGCTAAAGTCAAGGAATAAGACATCCACTGCTTTCCCCTCATCCACAGAGCCAGTTATCTCATCATAGAAGGCAATTAGGTTAGTCAGGCAGGACTTCCCCTTGGTGAATCCATGCTGACTGTTCCTGATCACTTTCCTCTCCTCTAAGTGTTTCATAATTGATTCCTTGAGGACCTGCTCCATGATTTTTCCAGGGACTGAGGTGAGGCTGACTGGCCTGTAGTTCCCCGGATCCTCCTTCTTCCCTTTTTTAAAGATGGGCACTACATTAGCCTTTTTCCAGTCATCCGGGACCTCCCCCGATTGCCATGAGTTTTCAAAGATGATGGCCAATGGCTCCGCAATCACATCCGCCAACTCCTTTAGCACCCTCGGATACAGTGCATCCGGCCCCATGGATTTGTGCTCATCCAGTTTTTCTAAATAGTCCCGAACCACTTCTTTCTCCACAGAGGGCTGGTCACCTCCTCCCCATACTGTGCTGCCCAGTGCAGCAGTCTGGGAGCTGACCTGGTTTGTGAAGACAGAGGCAAAAAAAGCATTGAGTACATTAGCTTTTTCCACATCCTCTGTCACTAGGTTTCCTCCCTCATTCAGTAAGGGGCCCACACTTTCCTTGACTTTCTTCTTGTTGCTAACATACCTGAAGAAACCCTTCTTGTTACTCTTAACATCTCTTGCTAGCTGCAACTCCAAGTGTGTTTTGGCCTTCCTGATTTCACTCTTGCATGCCTGAGCAATATTTTTATACTCCTCCCTGGTCATTTGTCCAATCTTCCACTTCTTGTAAGCTTCTTTTTTGTGTTTAAGGTCAGCAAGGATTTCACTGTTAAGCCAAGCTGGTCGCCTGCCATATTTACTATTCTTTCTACACATCGGGATGGTTTGTTCCTGCAACCGCAATAAGGATTCTTTAAAATACAGCCAGCTCTCCTGGACCCCTTTGCCCTTCATGTTATTCTCCCAGGGGATCCTGCCCATCGGTTCCCTGAGGGAGTCAAAGTTTGCTTTTCTGAAGTCCAGAGTCTGTATTCTGCTGCTCTCCCTTCTTCCTTGTGTCAGGATCTTGAACTCGACCATCTCATGGTCACTGCCTCCCAGGTTCCCATCCACTTTTGCTTCCCCTACTAATTCTTCCCGGTTTGTGAGCAGCAGGTCAAGAAAAGCTCTGCCCCTAATTGGTTCCTCCAGCACTTGCACCAGGAAATTGTCCCCTACACTTTCCAAAAACTTCCTGGATTGTCTGTGCATCGCTGTATTGCTCTCCCAGCAGATATCAGGGTGATTAAAGTCTCCCATGAGAACCAGGGCCTGCGATCTAGCAACTTCTGTTAGTTGCTGGAAGAACGCCTCGTCCACCTCATCCCCCTGGTCTGGTGGTCTATAGCAGACTCCGACCACGACATAACCCTTGTTGCTCACACTTCTCAACTTTATCCAGAGATTCTCAGGTTTTTCTGCAGTTTCATACCGGAGCTCTGAGCAGTCATACTCCTCTCTTACATACAATGCAACTCCCCCACCTTTTCTGCCCTGCCTGTCCTTCCTGAACAGTTTATATCCATCCATGACAGTACTCCAGTCATGTGAGTTATCCCACCAAGTCTCTGTTATTCCAATCGCATCATAGTTCCCTGACTGTGCCAGGACTTCCAGTTCTCCCTGCTTGTTTCCCAGGCTTCTTGCATTTGTGTATAGGCGCTTAAGATAACTCATCGATCGTCCCGCTTTCTCAGTATGAGACAGGAGTCCTCCCCTCTTACGCCCTCCTGCTCGTGCTTCCTCCCAGGATCCCATTTCCCCACTTACCTCAAGCTTGTCTCTCTAGCTTCTGTTGGTGAAAGAGACAAGCTTTTGAGCTACCCAGAGCTTTTCTTCAGCACTTTGAAAATAAAACACAGGGTGCCACACCCTGATGCACTTTGAAAAGTACCTTACTCCATGAGTATTGCCATTGAAATAAATGGGAAGATTTGCAGGGTAACATGCTACTCAGTATGAGGATGCGTGCCTGACTGGCACATAGTGTTTTTATTTTCAGTGTCTGTATCTGACCCTGAATATTGTTAAGAGTATGTGTGAACTGTAAATTGTTTATACTCTCTGGCAACATGACCCTTGACATTTTTTTTAACCCTTAGGATTCATTAACTGTAACATAGTCTGTAATTTTAGCAAAGTTTATATCCTGGCAGCCTTAAGTTAATGTTTAGGGGGTCTGATGATAAAGTGATATACAATTTCACCTGTTTTCAGTGACTAACTGGGAGTCCGGAATAAAAACATTTGTGTCATAAAATTGCACTGGAAAATGTGGGCATACTTCAGGGGTGCTGGAACAATTTATGTAGTGGGGGTGCTGAGACCCACTGATCCAAACTGTAAACCCTGTATATAATGGAAACCACTTCAAGTCAGGGGGTGCTGCAGCACCTCCCACACCCTTAGTTCCAGCACCTATGGCATACTTTGAAGTGATTATTTAAGACAGGAGTTTGCCTGGCTAAGGTGGGATCATTAACGCATGACACACCCTGTATTATCAGTTACTTATAGTGAGTCTAGCAAGAACTCTAGTGATGAGATGGATGGATGGGAGAGTGAGGAGTATTTTCTTGTATGATGCTTATGCACCTAAAGTCACTCTCATGGTTATGTGTGTTGCTCTTAGGTTTTTGAAATGGAGGAAACTGGAGCAATAGATTTTGGTGCTTTAGAGAGAGAACTGCAGGCGGCTGTTGCTGCTGATGAAAAGTATGAAAGAGAAAACGATGCCAAGTTCCGAGCCATTCATCAGAAGGTGGCATCCTATGAAGAATTCAGGTTTGCAGGATTTTGTTTTCTATGGCGAGTCAGAATTGGGAATATAACAATTGAATGTTTCTTTCATCAGGATGAAAGTTTCATATTTGTGATTCAGAGAAATGTAGGACTGGACGGTACCTTGATAGGTCCTCTAGTACAGTGGTCCCCTGTGCTGAGGGGACAAAAAGTTTTGCCGACGACAGGCGCCGGCGTGAACAGCACTTTGTTGGCAGCAGCACTCTCCTACCGACAACGCTGATGTCGCTAGTTGGGGGTGGAAGTTTTTTGTCGGCAGGAGAGCTTTCTCCTGCTGACAAACAGCGGCTACACCGGGCGCCTTTTAGCAGCATGGCTGTAGCGGCACAGCCATGTCACTAAAAGCTGCGTAGTGTAGACATAGCCTAAGTCATTCTTAACTTGTTCTTTCCCTGTTTTAGCCTCAGATCCTGCCTCATTTACTCTGACGTTCACTAGGTGAGTGCACGGTCACTGCTGACCTTTCTGGCAAAAACTGACGCAAAAAAGGCATTTAAAACTTTGGCTGTTGCTGCCTTTTCTGTTATTGTCTGTCCCTCGTCATCGAGTCATGGGCCTACCCAGTCACTGGTCTGCCTCTTGTTTCTAATGTCTTTGTAAAATGTTTTCGTAATACCCTCTATGTCCCTGGCCAGTTGAATCTTGTTTTGTGCCTTGGCCTTTCTAATTTTGTCCCTAGAATGTTTGTCCCTATGTGCGCCTTCATAATTTGACCTAGTTTCCACTTTTTCTGTGATTCTTTTTTGACTTTCAGGCCGGAGATCTCCAGGTTAAGCCAGGGTGGTCTCTTGCCATACTTCCTGTCTTTCCTATGCATTGGGATAGTTTGCTCTTTTGTCTTTAATAATGCCTCTTAAAAGCTGCCAGCAATCCTGAACTCTTTTAAACTTGCTTCCAACGGGATATTTGGGATGTTTCCCTCCTACAATTCATTAGAATCATGACCTCATATCATTTCATGATCACTTTCATCCAAACTGCCTTCCACCTTCAAATTCTCACCCAGTTTCTCCCTATTTGTCAGAATCAAATCTAGAACACCCTCTCCCCAACCATCCACATATAAACCCCCAGACATGTGCCTGTATGTCCTCAGAACATGCGTGTGCTAGCTTGTCTGGGGGCGTAGGTACAAGCTTGTGGCCCACTATAGTGCATGTCTCTGCCCACCCACTTTAGAGTGAGGATGTAGCTAAAGTACGTGTTGCTGTGCTCATGATCAGATAGCCTGCCAATGCTATCCCACAATTCCCATGCTGTTAAACATATGCCATGTTAGACCCCAGAAGTGTTTGTACATCCTCCTTCCTTTCCATTTATTCATCCATCTGTATCCAGCTACATTGTAGTTTTTCTCTTTTTAATCTTTCTCAGAATCACTTCCATGAGTTCACATCACATCCAGTTCCCAGTCTCTGCTGTGCTACTGTCCAAAGCTTCCTCTAGCAGTCAACCGTTGCCCTGTACTCTGATTCCAGCACCACTGTTGAAGTCCCTGTTTTCATGTGAGAATCAGGCCTGGTCTACGCTACAGAGTTAAGTCGACGTAAGGCAGCTACACTAAAATGTTGCTCCCACTGATGTAGATGGCTCACTACACCGACTTAATAACTCCACCTCTTCAAGAGTTCCAGCACTTAGGTCAACGTAGTTAGGTGGACACAGTGTCCGTGTAGACACTGCGTTACTTATGTCGACTTTAATGGTCTCCAAGAGATGTCCCACAGTGCCCCACCATGACTGCTCTGGTCACCATTTTGAACTCCACTGCCCGGTGGCCAGGTACACAGGTATACGCCCCTCCCCTCTAAATCCCTGCAAATTTTTGAAATTCCATTTCCTGTTTGTTCAGCATGGAGAGCTCACCTAGCAACTGCCCAGCTGACTATGCTGCAGATGCGCTCCTGCCTGGAGTACATAGGAGGTGGTGGATCTCCCAGGTCTGTGAGGAGAAGAGGCTGTGCAGGCATAGCTCCAATCCAGCCATGAAAACATTGATATCTATGAGCAGATCACTCAGGGCTTGGTGGAGAAGGGCTAAAAGAGGGACCCTCAGCAGTGCCACATGAAAGCCAAGGAGGTGCGGCAGGCCTACCAGAAAGCAAGGGAGGCTAATAGTCACTGGTGCAGAGCCGCAGACATGCCACTCTTACAGAGAGCTGCATGGCATTCTCGGCGGAAACCCCCACCCCCAAGAGCCGTATGGATACTTCAGAGGAGTCAGAGTTACTGGCCCCCGAAGTGAACAGTGAGGAGGTGGCGATGGATGAGGAAGAGGAGGAGGAGTATGGGGGACAGATGATCGGGGGATCCAGTCCTGCAGCGAGCCAGGACCTCTTTTTGACTCCAGAGCAGTCGAGCCAGTCCCTACAGACCAGCACGATGCAGGGGAAGGAACCTCTGGTAAGTATGCAGTTTGCTTTGATATTACAGGGACACATCTGTTCATTTATTCTTTTTTAATCATGCTAGAAGAGGTAGTGAAATAACCAATAGAGGTAGAGTTGCTGTCTGCTTCTCATTCCCCTCTACAGTTAGGCAGAGGGAGCCCTGCAGAACAGTTTGTTTATGTGCACCGGGATGTCCCGTGAATCCTTCATGGAGATCTCGAGGAAACGTTCCTTGAGGTAGTCTGCAATCCTCTGTCAAAGGTTTCTGAGGAGGGCTGCCCTATTTTCTTCCGCCACGGTAGGACACTTTCCCACACCACTCGGCAGTTACTTCACCAGCCACCATTGCAGCATACAGACTCACAGCATGCGGACCTGGTCCGCAGCCAGATGCGTACAGGACCTGTTCCCTTTCAGCCTCCATTACCCCCAGGAGTGAGATATCAGCTAAAATAACCATCACCTGTGGAAAATGGTGCCAGTATTCAGTTCAGTTACCCTAGCCACATATATTCATGCTTGTGAGCTATCCCCCCTCCTTATTGTCCCAAATTGCCCCCGTACTCACCATGGATGGGACTGCTGCTGTGCTCTCTGAATCCCAAGGAGAAGTGAGACTGTAGTGCTTGTAACTTGTGTGGATCAAGGGGAGTGAATTCAGTATACCAAGTTTCCATTTATCTTGTGAATACACTCACAATAGTACCTCTGTGCATTGTATTTTTTGCAGCTGGAAATGTGGCCTTGAGGGTGTTTTCGTCCACATCAGTGGAGCAGCTCAACTGGATAAGGAGGAGAAGGAAGACGACGTGCGATGACATGTTCCAAGAGATCCTGAAAGCCTCTGGTATTTTGGATACCGAGCACAGGGCTTGGAGGATCGCCCTTGCAGACACAATGGACAGGGATAGAGTGGAGAGGAGAAAAGCACAGGAAAAGAAGTGAGATGTGCAGCAGGAGATGCTACTGCTTCTCAAGCGGCACATAGACATGCTGGAGACTCCTGTTGACCTTCAGATTCAACAATCCCATGCTCACCTCCTTCTGCAGTCTATCGAGAACTGCATTCCGGGACCTCCCTAATCACCACCCCTGCATTCCATGTGGCGTCTGGGGCTGCTACACTACCCCACCACTCCACCCAAGGGGAGAATATAGGCAGTCACAGCTGCACATACACTGACCTGTGAGCGACACGGTTGGTGTATGTTTTTGTGAAATGGAAATGACTGTTCTTTCCCCTTCAAAAGTTCTTTTCCCTGTATTTATAAAGTTTCATTCACTTATAAATATGTCTGTTTGCAGGAGTTCGAAATAAAAGTCTATTTATGGAAACTTAAGTCATCTTTATTAGTTCACCACATATGCTGGCTGGGGCTGACATCATTCACAGATAATAGCAATAGGTGCATTTGCAATGTTTTATTATTACACACACAGCACTCATTACAAGATTCATATCAGGGTGCAAAAAAACAATGCCAGGCAGAGTAAACTACAGCAACACACATCACTGTGGTTCACTATTATAATGGTCTTTCAAAGCCTCCCTGAGCTGTATAGCTCCCCGTGAAGCTCTTTTAATAGCCCTGGTATCTGGCTGTTCAAAATCAGCAGACAGCCATTCTACCTCCATCCTCCACCCCAGCAGAAACTTTCCCCCCTTTGCTTCACAGATATTATGAAACAGTAGGCAGCTATAACCATTGGGATATTTTTTTAACTGAGGTCTAATCTTGTGAGTAGACAGCGCCAGCGGCTTTTCAACCAGCCAAAGGCACATTCAACTGTCATTCTGCACTTGCTGAGTTTGTAGTTAAAGCACTCAGTGCTGCTGTTGAGGTGACCAGTGTATGGCTTCACAAGCCACGGGAATAAGGGGCAGGCAGGATCTCCCAGGATCACTATTGGCATTTCAAGTTCCCCAATGGTAATCTTCTGGTCTGGAAAGAAAGTCCCGGCTTGCAGCTTTCTCAACAGGCCTGTCTTCTTAAAGATTCACACATTATGCACCTTCCCTAACCATCTGACGTTGATGTTGGTAAAACAATCCCAGTGATCGGCCAGCACTTGCAATACAATAGAAAAGTAGCCTTTTCTGTTGATGTATTCTGTGGCATGGTGGTCTGGTGCCAAAATAGGGATATGCATGCCATCTATCGCCCCACTGCAGTCCAGGAACCCCATTGTTGCAAAACCATCCACTATGTCCTGGGCATTGCCCAGAGTTCCAGTCCTTCATAGCAGGATGGCCCTGTTCACTTGCATCACAGCAACCCCCACAGTGGATTTCCCAACTCCCAATTGGTTCTTGACTGATGGTAGCAATCTGTCGTGGCAAGCTTCTGCACAGCGATCGCCACTTGCTTCTCCACTGTCAGTGCAGCTGTCCTTCTGGTGTCACTGCACTGGAGGGTTGGGGCGAGCTCCACACACACATCCAGGAATGTGGCCTTGCGCATCCAAAAGTTCTGCAGCCACCACTCGTCATCCCATACCTGCATAACGATGTGATCCCACCAGCCATTGCTTGTTTCTCAGGCCCAGAACTGGCGCTCCATTGTCTGCAGCTGCTTCATGAATGCCAACAACAACCTTGAATTGTTTCTTTTTATGTCCCACAGCAATCTGGCCTCCAACAAATCATCATGTTCCCCACGGCTACTCTGGCGGCTCTGCAAATATTGCAGGATCAGGCGCACCATGCTCGCAACACTCATTACAATAGTGCAGAGCAGCGCAGGATCCATGTTTCTCACACAGATAGATGGTGGACGCGCAGGTTTGTGGAGCTTTTGAAAAGCAGCGTGAAACATTATGTGATGCAGATAAAATTATGGGATGGAGAAAACCTCATCATGGGACGTTGAAACCATATTCCCAATCCCAGTCAACCCTGTGTGACTTGTTTGCCCCCATGAGGCATTGCAAACCCTTCCCAAAACACCCTGTGGGTAGTGAATTGCACAGTGGGATAGCTACCCATGGTGCACTGCTCTCTGCATCAATGCGAGCGCTGCCAGTGAGGATACACACCACCAACACAAGGAGCATGGACATGCAAAAGTGATTTAATTACTATGGCAGCTGTATGTCGACGTAACTTAGTCAGCTTAATTTTGTAATGTAGACTTGCCCTCAGTGTCCCTCCGTCAACTAGCAAATGGAGCCCTTGCTGAATACTGCTGAGGTGGTTACTGTCTTCAGATCACCATTGCTAATTTATGTTCACACTTAAGAGCCACAGCATTCTTGCCATTTCTTGGGTAGATAAAAGTTTTCAGATACAAAGTGGGTGAGGTAATATCTTTTATTGGACTAACTTCTGTTGGTGAGAGAGACAAGCTTTCAAGCTTACACAGAGCTCTTTCTCTCTTCCGCGGCACTTCGGCGGCAGGTCCTTCACTTGCTCCCGGTGAAGGACCTGCCCACCGAAAACCCGGAGCGAGTGGACCCGGTAGGGAACCGGTTCTTAGGATTTTGGGAGCTCATCACTGCCTGAAAGCATGGATCCTGAACTGCTCACCAGTCTGGTGATGTGTTATGAACACAATGCAGCTGCTCCTGCAGTATTTCATGAGCTGTGAATCAGAATGTGAATTGGGGGTGCTGCCCTGCTGCGTGCCATGGAAAGAAATAATTCAAGGTTGCTGCTGGCATTCAAGGAGCAGCTGCACATGGACCTTCGGTACTGGGCTCGGGAAACAAGCAGTGAGTGGTAGGATCGCATCGTTATGTAGGTCTGGGATGATAAGCAGTGTCTGCAGAACTTTCAGATGCACAAATCCACCTTCCTGGAACTGTGTGCAGAGCTTTTCCCAGCACTCCAGCGGGCGCAAGGACTCCAGAATGAGAGCTGCTTTCACTGTGGAAAAGTGAGTGGCAATTGCTGTGTGGAAGCTGGCAACTCCAGACTGCTACCGGTCAGTTGTGAATCAGTTTGGAGTTGGAAAGTCCACCGTGGGGGTTGTGGTGATGCAAGTATGCAGGGCCATTAATCACCTTCTGCTACAAAGGACTGTGACTCTCAGTAATGTGCAGGAAATACTTGATGACTTTGAGGCAATGGGATTCCCTAACTGCGGTGGAGTAATAGATGGAACGTATATCCCAATTTTGGCCCCAGACCATCTTGTGACAGAGTACATGAAACAGAAGAGCTACTTCTCCATGGTCTTGCAGGTGCTGGTGGGTCACCGGGACTGTTTCACTGACATCAATGCGGGGTGGTTAGGGAAAGTGCATGATGCGTGCATCTTTAGGAACACTGAACTGTATAGAAAGCTGCATGCTGGGACTTTCCAGACCAGAAGATTCAATTGGGGGGTGTAGAAGTGCAGACTCACCCAGCGGCGCCTCCTGCTGGTCTCTTCTGGGAATCAGCTCGATTTCCAGCCCAGAGCACCCTCTGCAGGCCAGTGATCCGCCTGTCCTCTGGACCCCATATCCCTCCCTGGACCCCGGTGCCCTTGTACCTGGGGTGTTGCCCCCTGGCAGTAACCCCACAGTCTTAGGGTCTCCCCTCCCTGGGGAACCCCCACCCACTATCCCCACCTCAGTATCAGGCTACTGCCAGTCTTCGTCTAGCCCCACACCTGGGGCAGATTGCAGTATCAGCCTACTCATCACTGGCAAGGAGGGTTGGACCTGCTGCCTTGGCCTACCCCTGGGCTGCCCTCTGCAACCCCCAGTACCTGTTGGGCTTATGCTAGGCCACAGCCTGGGGCTTTCCAGGCTGGAGCTCCCCAGCTCCTGTGCCTTTCCCCAGCCCTGCTCCACTCAGGTACCCTGTCTCTAGCTCCCTGCAGCCAGGCCCTTCTCTCTCTGAACGCAGAGAGAGACTGTTGAGCTCCTGGCTCCCAGCCTTTTTATACAGGCCAGCTGTGGCCTGATTGGGGCGTGGCCCAGCTGTGGCTGCTTCCCCAATCAGCCCAGCTTTTAGAGCTGCAGCCCTCTGCCAGGGCTGTTTTAAGTCCTTCCAGGCAGGAGCGGGGGACCACCCCACTACAGGGGATGTGGAAATGCCCATGGGGATCTTGGGACACCCCGCCTGCCCCTTGCTCCCATGGCTCATGAAGCCTTACACTGGGAACCTAGACAGCAGCAAGGAGCGCTTCAACAATAAGTTCAGCAGGTGCCGAATGATCGTTGAATGTGCCTTTGGCTGATTAAAAGGTTGCTGGTGCTGCCTTTTTGTCAGGTTGGACCTCAGTGAGGAAAATATTCCCATAGTTATTGCAGCCTGTTTTGCTCTGCATAACATTTACAAAGCGAAGGGGGGAAAGTTTCCACAAGGGTGGAGCACTGAGGTAGATCGGCTGGCTGCTGATTTGAGCAGCCAGATACTAGGGTAATAAGAGGGGCACAGGAGGGGGAGTATTCAAATTAGGGAGGCTTTGAAGGAGCATTTTGACAATTATTCCCAGTAATGTGTCTTTAAGTGATGCATTCAGCCAGGCAATGTTTACTTGCTGCCTTGAATGACCCCTGTAGTGCTTGCTTTCTGAGCGTTAATTGTACTAGATATCAAAGTTCCTACGGCTGGAGCAAAGCTGCAACTGCAGAGCCTCCTCTACCCACAGAGCCAGCAGATCCAACAGCTCTGGTGTACTCCACGCGGGAGCGCGTCTACTGTGGAAAGCCGGCATGGTCAGCTGGGAAGATGCTGTGTGAACTGTCCACGCCGAGCAGATAGGAAGAGGAATTTTTAAAATTCCCAGGCCTTTAAACGTGGGAGAGGTGCATACCTGTGTACCTTCAGGGCAGCGGAGTTCAAACTGCTGACCAGAGTAGTCACGGTGGGCATTGTGGGCCACCTCCTGGAGGCCAATTAGGACAACACAAGAAAGCACAGGATCTACACTGAGGCTGTGTCACTCTAACCATGTTGCAAAAAGCCCTGTGCCTCTTGTTGAGGTGGTTTTATTATGTCAGCGTAGCAGGGGAGTTCTATCGGCAGGAGGAACATTGCAGTGTGTACACCTCCACTGTTTTGTCGACCAAAGCTGACTTTTGTTGACAAAACTGTGGCGTGTAAACAAGGCCCTATACATGCAATAAGGGCTCAAGCTTGCAGCTTTCTCTAAGGCCATGTCTGCACTACAAAATTAAGTGGACCTAACATGTCAGCCTACAGCTGCCACAGTAATTACATCGCTTGTGCCTGTCTACGCTTTGCTTCTTGTGTTGGCATTGCGCATCCTCACCAGGAGCTCTTGTATCAATTGTACTGTCAGCGTGGGGCATTGTGGGACAGCGTTTCACAGCCAGTAACAGTCGACGTAAGCAATGCAGTGTCTACACTGACACTGCATTGACCTAACTACATTGACCATGACTCTACGCCACTCGTAGAGGTGGAGTTATTAAGTCAGCGGACCTGGGCAGTTACATCGGTGGGAGTGAAATTTAAGTGTAGACACTTCCATAGTTAGGTTGATGTAAGCTGCCTTGCATTGACCTAACTCTAGTGTAGACCAGACCTTAGAGATAGTCCAGTGAGGATACAAAGATCCGTAAGGATGAGTAATAGCTTCCTTTCCAAAGGCTTAACTACCACTTGGAAACCTCATTTCACAGACCGGTCTGCAGGTCTCTGACACACACACGCTTTCTCTCTCTCTCTCTCTCTCATTAGGAACTTTGTTAGGGACAGAGGTCCAGACTCTCTGTCACAGTGCCCTTAGCCCCTTTTCATTCTGGGATGAGAGATCAGACTTGAGAAGTGGAATCAGGTCTCTTGCATGTTAGTCAGTGTAGTAGTGAGCGGTAACTGGGAACATGTGATCTGGCCACAAGAGATTTTGTGATCTTGATTTGAACCCACATCTTTTACATGGTAGAACTTTGCATCACAAACTCAATGACTGTGCCAGTCTCACAGAGAGGAATCAAACTGGAAATGGCGCTAATTTCAAGCGAGCATTTGCTCTTGCTGGGTTTACCCTCCCTTTATATTTCCTGCAGGGATATTGTGCTGGCATCACACCTGAAACCTCTAGAGAAAAAGGACAAAATGGGAAAAAAGAAAAACCTGTGGAATTCCTATGCTACCCAAGCTAATGGCAAGCAGGACAGAGAGATGGAGCTAGCCCAGGTGAGGAGGAAAACTCCATCAGTTTGTCTACACACAAAAGTTAATTCAAATTAACGTAGGGTGTGAATTTAAAATGCAGTAGCTATTCCAGAATAACTCCATGGGTGGACACGTTTTCCAGAATAAGAGTGCCTTGTTCCACTTTAGTTTAATCTACTTCCAAAGTGGATTGAGCTGAGGGCTTGTCTACACTTAAAAGTTAATTTGGATTAAAGGCGGAGGTGAATTTTAAAGCACATAGCTTTAGCATAGTGGGTCTCAAACATTTTCACTGGCGACCCCTTTCACATAACAAACCTCTGAGTGCAACCCCCCAATAAATTAAACACCCTTTTTAATATATTTAACACCATTATAAATGCTGGAGGCAAGTGCGGTTTGGGGTGGAGGTTGACAGCTCGCAACCCCCCCATGTAATGACCTCACAACCCCCTGAGGGGTCCTGACCCCCAGTTTGAGAACCCCTGCTTTAGCACAATGTGTAGACAAGCAGTAAAAGAAATCTCCAGAATCACCACAGTAGATCAGACCAAATGTCCATCTAGTCCTACATCTTGTCTCTGACAACGGCCAGGACCAGCTGCATCAGAGGAAAGTGCAAAGCACCCCCTAGGGAACAATCTATATAATAATATTCCAGGATTCACTCTGGGTGTCACTCTGAAGCGTAGAATGTCTTCTGAGTCTGTGTGAAATGATGGAAACAGCCACAAGCGTGGTTGAAAGCTCGTTTTGTTTAGAATATCAGCTTGTTCAGTCACCACTGGGATTGCAGGTCTGTTACTGTCCAGTTTTTCAGTCCTCTGCCATTCTGATGTTATGAATTACACCCATGTGACAGCAAGGCATGCATCTGTCTATGCCATGCCAAGAGTTCTAGCCATTGTGATATCAGAGATAACTCAACCAATCAGTACCCTTACGCTACATGTAGTTTGCATACAACAGTTTCATTGGTTGTAATGAGTCAGTGATATAAGGGAGACTGCACAGATGGTGAATTACTTGGACCAGTTGCCACAGTTCTTCAAAGGTTGAATTGTCACCCATACAACTTTACATAAACTCCCCCAACAAATCTATGCAAACTCCCCACCATAACACACATACCCAGACAAATCAACACAAATCTCCCAGCAGCATCCACACAACAACCCCAAACACACAGCGTCACACTCACCACAGCATACAACCCCTCATTTGCTACCCACACAAATCAACACACATCTCTCAGCACTCCCCCAGACACAGTTCAACACAAATCTCCCTGCACCACAAATACAAATCAGCACAAATTCCCAGCACAGCTACTTCAGACACAACACCACAACCAGCACACACAATAACCCCGAACACACATAGCCTCTCACCACAGCCCATACCTCTCATTCACCTGCTGCACAAATAAAAAAAATCTACCAGCACAACATACACCCTCACCCACTCTCACTCATATTTACCATAAAACCATAAACTTGAGTGGCAAAGCCATTTTGACTTTACGAATTAAACTCAGTGATAGCACAGCCTTTCAGTTACGAGTTATGGAATGACCTGTCCAGAAGGGAATTCTGCTCCCAACACCCACCAGCTGGTGGAATTCTGCACCTGCTTTATGTAACTGTTATTGATCATCTTTTCATCCAGGGATGGGATGGACTCCCTGAAACGTCTGCAGACTTTTACAGATATTGGCGCAGATGCTTGAAAAGTGGGCAGGAAAAATACCAGTTCCTGTTTCAGCTCGGCGGCAAGGGCCTGGGCAGAATCTTTCAAGCTGATGTTGGCTTTGGCCTCCTGGGTGAATTTCTTGTGGTGCTGGCCGAGCATGCCTGTAGGGAAGACAGAGAAGCCGTCCTTCAGATATTACAGAGCCTTTCTGGGACCAAGCGCTTTGGACTCAATGTGGCTCTCCTGAGCCAGGTGGAGAAGGATAGCTGCAGGGACTTGTTTGGGAAACTACAGAGCATGGGCAGGAATTGTGGGGCTGATGGCCTTCCTGAGGGCACAGCTGAAGCAGGTACAGCTGCTTTGCAGGAAGAGGAGAATGAGGCTGATAGAGAAACCCATCTGAGGGGGGCTGGCCAGCGAAAGGAGGCAGACGACAGACTAATTAAAGAGCTGGTGAAATGTTACCTTGTTAGCTGAAGGAGCACAGGCTCACCCTACAGCTCACACTCCACCAGGGTTACTAGGAGCTGAGGGCCAGCAGGGACCCTTCCTGTACTGCTCTGTCATCAAAGATGGAGGGACAGTGAGAGCCCCTTTTCTACAGAAAGTTGTTGATTGAGTTTTACTTTGTACCTGCTTCACCTGTCTAGAAGAATGGCCTGGTACAAATAAATATTAGTCACCAAAAGGATTATATTGGGGCAGGGGCCATCACACAGGAGACAACACGTGCTGTGAATCAGTAGTACAGCATTGAATATATTGTTTGAGGATGGGAAAAATCACTAGTATTAGTGGGAGAAGATTAATTCCCCTCTTTTCTTTTATCTGGCTACGTGTTCTTGGTCAACAGGGGATTTTAGAAACATAAGCAGCTGTATTATAATAGTTAAACAGGTAACAGCCAAATGAGGAATGGGTTCATGTGTACAGCCATATCTGGGACTGATCTGACCCCCTACTTAAACAGAATCTGGGATAAATACATGGAATGTACATTGCTAATTTCCACAGTCATACTCCTGAGGGCATGCTGTGCCAAAAAATTAAAAATTCTGCACCAAAAATTAAAAATTCTGCAAATTTTATTTGTCAAATAAATGTGGAGGATCCAGCATAGCCTTGGGGAGCACAGGCGATTGGCTGCACAGAGGTGGGAGGTCACTCTGCAGCTCCCCCCAGGACATGGACTCAGCGGTGATGCTGCACCCAACCCTGACACAGTGCAAGGACTGAGCCTGCCCCAGAAACACCCCAGGGCCCTGCCTCTCTGTGCCAGGTGCACCAGGTGTGGGCCGGCATGCTCAGCCCACCAGGATCCAAGTGTGGAAGGGCTCAGTGTGGGGGGATCCAGGTGTGCATTGAGAGGGTTCTGTATGGGGCAATCTGGGTGTGGGCAGCTCAGTGGGGGATCTAGGTGCAGGGTAGATCTGGAGGCACAGGGGTTTGTTGGGGGTTCTGGGTGCAACAGTAATGGGACTCTGCAGTGGGGTCCAGGTGAAGGTGGTTGGGGCTCAGCGGGGATGGTGGTGTCTGGGTGGGTGGGGGGGAATAAAGCTTGGCAGGGGGGTCTGGTGTGGGGGGGGCGTCCAGATGCTGGGGGGAGTAGGGCTCAGTGGGGTGGGGATCCAGGTGCAGCCGGTTGTGGCTCGGTGGGGTGGGGATCCAGGTGCAGGTGACTCATTGGGGTGGTCCAGGTTCAGGGGGAGTGAGGCTCGGCAGGTGGGGTTCTGGGTGTGTGTGACGGTATGGGACTACCTATGAGCCCGTTTTCCCTGGCAGCTTGGGACTTCAGTACCCTGTCTTGTTGAGCCAGACACACTAGCCTGCTGCAAACATAGACCCAGGTCTGAACCACATCCCCCACAAGCTGCAAGCTTAACTGAAAACAGCTTAAGAAATGGTCCTGTCTCCAGCACCCAGATACCCAGCTGCCAATGGGGCCCAAACCCCAAATAAGACCATTTTACTCTGTATAAAGCTTAAACAGGGTAAACTCATAAATTGTTCGCCCTCTATAACACTGATAGGGAGATATGCACAGCTGTTTGCTCCCCCAGGTATTAATTACTTGCTCTGGGTTAATTAATAAGCAAAAAGTGATTTTATTAAATATAAAAAGTAAGATTTAAGTGGTTCCAAGTAATAACAGACAGAACAAAGTAAATTACCAAGCAAAATAAAACAAAAACATGCAAGTCTAAGCCTAATACAATAGGAAACTAAATGCAGGTAAATCTCACCCTCAGAGATGTTCCAATAAGCTTCTTTCACAGACTAGACTCTTTTCTAGTCTGGGTCCAGCAATCACTCACACCCCTGTAGTTACTGTCCTTTGTTCCAGTTTCTTTCAGGCATCTCTTTGGGGTGGAGAGGCTATCTTCTGAGCCAGCTGAAGACAAAATGGAGGGGTTTTCAGGGCCTTTTATATTCTCTCTCTTGTGGGTGGAAACCCCTTTGTTCTGTGCAAAATCACAACAACAAGATGGAGTCTGTAGCAACCTGGGCAAGTCAAATGTCTATGGATGATTCAGCTTTTTGCAGGCAGACGCCATTGTTTACATGTTAGTTTGAACGTTCCCAGGAAAGCTCAGATGTAGATTGGCATCTCCCAAAGTCCATTGTCAGTTAAGTGTTTCTTGATTGGGCACTTACTGAGAATAGTCCTTTCTCAAGCAGCTGACCAAATGCTTCACTGAGGCTACTTAGAATCAAACAAGTACATAGCCAATATTAATAACGTCAAATACAAAAATGATACACACATACAGACAGCATAATCATCACCAGCAAACTACAACCTTTCCATAGACACCCCACTTGGCCTCCTCTGTATAAGACCTGGTGCAACCATAGGACCCTGGCTGCAACAATGATCTATATGGTCACAGTTCCTGTCAGTAACGTCACAGGGGGTGAGGCTCGGTGTGGGGGCGGGGGGAGTCTGGGTATGAGGGGTCTGGATGCACAGGGGTGGGGTGAATGGGGGAGCAGCTTCTCATACAGTGATCCCTCCCCCTGCAGCTGAGGAGCGATGGGTGCAGGAAGTGGGGCGTTGCGGGGAGGGGAGTTTGCAGAGCTTCCTGAAACTGGGCTAGAAATCTGGGGGTGGGTCTGACCTGGCCCTGGATGCTGTGCAGGGGAAGAGGAAGTCCTGTTCTAACCAGACCAGCCGTAGCTAGCAGCTGAGCCCTGTGCAGGCTTGGAGCCACCACCGGGTTTTCCCGAGTCCCACACTCTATATGCTAACGGCATATTGGGCTGCATTAGTAGGAGCATTGCCAGCAGATTGAGGGAAGTGATTATTCCCCTCTATTTGGCGCATCTGGAGTATTGCGTCCAGTTTTGGGCCCCCCACTACAGAAAGGATGTGGACAAATTGGAGAGAGTCCAGTGGAGGGTAACAAAAATGATTAGGGGGCTGGAGCACATGACTTATGAGGAGAGGCTGAGGGAACTGGGCTTGTTTAGTCTGCAGAAGAGAAGAGTGAGGGGGGATTTGATAGCAGCCTTCAACTACCTGAAGGGAGGTCCCGAAGAGGAAGGAGCTCGGCCGTTCTCAGTGGTGGCAGATGACAGAACAAGGAGCAATGGTTTCAAGTTGCAGTGGGGGAAGTTTAGGTTGGAATTAGGAAAAACTATTTCACTAGGAGGGTGGTGAAGCGCTGGAATGGGTTACCTAAGGAGGTGGTGGAATCTCCATCCTTAGAGGTTTTTAAGGCCCAGCTTGACAAAGCCCTGGCTGGGATGATTTAGGTGGGGTTGGTCCTGCTTTGAGCAGGGGGTTGGACTAGATGACCTCCTGAGGTCTCTTCCAACCCTAATCTATGATTCTATAAAATCCAGTGCCGCAAACTCTAGCTTTTGGAAAGGTGAAGGCGGGGAGGGCTTAATGGCCTAAGTGATTTGAAATCCCAAGACCCCCTGAAACCATGGGGTCAAATGCAGACAGTGCTGAGCCCTCCCCATCCATCTATCCCAGAGGGATACACGGGATCCCATGCAGCTTGTCAACCAAAACCTTAAACAATGGAGGTCTTGTCTGCTCTGCATCAATGTTCACAACCAGTGTTTGCCCTGATATTCTGGGCAAGATAGAGTGGTGGAGGGCAGATCTATCAGCCCTAAAATTATGAAAGCCCTGTTCCCTATGAGCTGAAAAAGGGTGACCTCAAGTTAACTATTGACACCTGAGCCCAGCCCAGTTAAGGGCTGCCAGTGACCTTTAAAACCCCCTTTTCTGGTGAGAGAGGGGAGGGGAGAGATGAGAGACAGGCTGCAGCCGGGGCAAGGGCAGGGGGAAGGAAAAGCTTTCTCTGGCTGGAAGGCAGTCTCCCCTCCCTATAGGGAAAGAAACGAAGATAACGCTGCTTGGGGAAACACTGGCAACTAGGAGCCAGTGTAGTAGGGTAACACCCTGGAAGAAGAGGCGGGGAAAGCATTTCTGTTTGCATTGGGGGTTTCTGTTGCTTTGCTGAAGGGGACTTCTTGGGCCTACCCTGAGGCCCACTGTAGCGGGGTGGTCACCCGCTCCTGCCTGGGAAGGGTTAAAGCAGTCTGCCCCAGAGCGTGGGGCTGTGGAAGGAAAGACCTGGGCTGATTGGGGGAAGCAGCTGCAGCTGGGCCATGCCCCAATCAGAGCCCAGCTGGCCCTATAAAGGCCAGGGCAGCCAGAAGCTCAGCAGTCTCTCTCTGCACTCAGCAAGAGAAGGGCCTGGCTGCAGGGAGCTAAGATAGAGTACCTGGGTGGAGCAGGGCTGGGGAAAGGCTGAGGAGCTGGGGAGCTCCAGCCTGGAAAGCCCCAGGCTGCGGCCTAGTAGAAGGTCAAGGGGTACTGGGGGTTGCAGAGGGCAACCCAGGGCTAGGCAAAGGCAGCCGGTCCAAACCCAACCTTGCCTGTGATGAGTGGCTTATACTGCAGTCTGCCCCAGGGCGCGGGGGCTAGTTGGTGACTGGCAGTGACCTTATTCTGAGGCGAGGTGGGGATAGTGGGTGGGGGTTCCCCTGGGAGGGGGAGACCCAGGTAAAGGGACACCGGGGTCCTGGGAGGGACAGGGGGGCCAGTAGCGGTAAGGCAGATCACCGGCCTGCAGGCGGTGCTCTTGTCTGGATTGAGCTAATTCCCAGGATAACCAGTAGGAGGTGCCGCAGGGGTGAGTCCAGACCCTTACACCCACCATATAAGAAGGGAAAATAAAACAGGAATGAAGAGAAAAACCCTCCAGAGTCAGATTGGTTTACTCCAGGCCCCCTATTGCCCAAGGGAGTAACGCGGAGGCCCGTGAGGCACAGGAGGTGCCCTGCCACTCCGCACAGTTGTGCTGTGTACAGGTGATTTACCTGGCTGTTGCCTTGCACTCAGAGGAGGCTGCGTTTCAGTGCTGCTTTTGTGTACACGTCGGTAACATGCCTTGAGTTGCAAGGGCTTGTTTATTGTCTGAGACTCACATTCTCAGGGCTGTGTTCCCATTCTAGAACCGACATGAGGAAAAAAGAAAAGGTTCTAGAGTTAATGTCTCTGAGCACCCAGTCGATAGCCTTTAACCTTCAGTGCAGGACAAACACGAAGTTCTTTAAAACAGTACACTCACCTTTTACAATAGCTTCCCCAGCAAGCATTAGGCTGTGATGAGATAATCCCAACTGCGATCCACCCTCTCCCATCGACCAAAGCTGCTCCAGAGGGGAGAGTCTACTGCCGAACTCGACTACAAAACCCATGCTTCTATAGTGAAACGTATTAAAATCATCTTTGCCCCAGCACTGTTCTCTGGCTGTTAACCTTAGTGACCAGAGGATCAGTAAGGATCTTGGGATGGTTTGATGCCATTTAATTGCACTGCTTGACTGAGGATCTAGACTGGCTAATGGAGATGAGGCTGGTTGGAATTGCCGTTCTCCTTGGGATGGCAGATGTTCTCCATGCCTTTGCCATCATGGAGAAGGAAGATGTATTCAAGAAAACACCCTGCCCGGCCTTCCTGATGTTTGACAATGCTGCCTACTTGGCTGACATG